CACCGAGGGCCCTAGGGTTGTTTTATCGCAGGGACCGATGCAAGCGTGGCCGAATTCGGCTGAAAACGGCCAAAAATGGCCAACCCGAGGCGAATCGCCGCCGCTTGGCCGGAGCACGGCGGAGCTGCCGTGCCGGAATTGCGATATTGGCCGAAAGGGGCCCTACGTCTAATTTGAAATTTTTTGGGACATGTGCAGGTACCAGTAGTGCGTTTCAGTTTTCCGAAAAAAATTCAGAGAAAATTAGGGACCGCTTGTAGGCGCACTGTCGAGTCGAATTCAGACCCCGAAACAAGTAATGACCCCTCACCCTATTTTCTATCACGGTATTAAAGTTCAATAAATAATAAAACGGTATTTCATGAATCAATAGATGTGTGAAATTGTTTAAGGTCGCTAATGGAGCCCGAGTCTGGTGTATTTGTCGGTCAGTTGTTGTTTGTTCTAATTTACAGTTTTAAATGCAGTATGATGTCTGATGTTTTCATTTCATAGTTTCGTGTGCATATATCACTGTTTTATTGATTATGGATTGAATGACTGAGAACCCGATGTTGTGTGTTGTCTTGTTTGGCATAAACTACTGGTTTGCATGTTTGTGTGTGATTTGATGATGGTGACTGAGGAAAAAAGGAATAAAAGGTTACGTGAATTGATAAGTGGATAATGTGGACAGCCTGACTAGATATCCTGGGAGATGGTGGACGGACCAGGTCCGTAGGGAACCCTACTGGGAACGTGGTCTCTCATACCGGACGGGGTTTGGAGACCTTATATGTTTTGGCGCCCATACCGGACGGGGTATGGGGACGGCCCGTTTTACCCTCATACCAGACGGGGTATTGAGGTTCATGGTTTTGGTGCCCATACCGGACGGGGTATGAGGACGGCTCTGGAATCAGGTTATAAATGTTAAGGGTTCACGGGTAGCGGGATCCCTATGGATCCCCATAGATACTAGTAGGCTGGTAAATGAGGAAAATGTGTTGTTTAATGATTGAAATGCAAAGGTGTGGTAAGTATTATGTTATACAGTTCATATGATTTCATGATTGTGATAATATTATTGCTTTCATATATTGTTTTATGGATCTCACCGAGGTAAGTGGACAGTAAAGGATTTTATTATTGATAAACAAGTTTATTATAAATTATGCTCCATTGGTCTTTTTTGTGTTTTCTACCCATCTTTACCTCCGTGGCGGTGAGATAGTGTGATGTCTTTACTGGGCTGGTGTAGCTCATTCCTTATTTAACCATTTCAGATCAGGAAGACATTGTTCCCGAGCCCGTTCCGCAGGAAGATGGCGAAGGGGACGCCTAA